CGGCGGCCCTGTTGCCGTCCGCCCTGCGCGGCGCCGTGGACCTCGCGCGGGGCTGCGCCGCGGCGCCGGCGCCCTGGCAGGCCGGCTTCGCCGTGGCGTGGGCCCTGAACATGGTGGCCATCTCGAAGGGGGCGAAAGGGCACAGACTTGTGGAGGACGATTAATAGAGAGGAAGCATGCTGCCAAATAATTTCCAATAATTTCCTATAGAGGGGAAGCATACTGCCAATACAGAATAAGGATGCTGCATGTAAAAAGCATGTTGAAAACATGTGTAGGACATCTCCGACATTTCAAACACACCTTAAATTCACTGATAGGACTGTTAGGGTGTCCATTGTCGTGGCATCCGCAAGCACAGGCACAGGGGAACGAAGAAGGACATCAGCACAAAAGCTCGGAGGTCCGCGCGAATTTCTCGGATCGGCGCTGGGGCCCCCTGGCGGCGCTCCAGCGCCCGGGCCGAGCTTTTGTGCTCATGTCGTTCTTTGTTTCCCGACGAATCGGCACGGACATCAGTGCACAGTGCGGGTGGGACTTCTATCCACACCTCTAAGGCCTCCCAGGTGGGGTCGAAGTAGGGGGGGTCGGAGGATCGCGTCGCATCGCCGATGCATCGCCGATGCGGCTCGATGTGGGGCCCGATTTGCTTCACGTCGACGTCGCCGATGCACTGCCGACGTTTACGATGCATCGCCAGTGCATCGCCGATGCATCGCCGATGCATCGCCGATGCATCGTCGATGTATCGGCGATGCGGCGCGATCTTCCGACCCCATCTACTCCGACCCCATCTAGGAGGCCTGTAGTGCCCCAGAGGTCAAGGCGTACCCATGCCCCTGCCCTTCCGTTGTTTTGTCCCTTTTTCGGGCCTCCTGGGAGGCCCTCGTCGCCACCTCTGGATTCGCTTCGGGATTCTGGTCAGGACGCAACCCGGGAGAGGTCTGGGGAGTAGCGGAATCGGTACCTTGCGGGTTGCCCAGCAACGGCATAGACACCAGTTCGGGTAAGATTCCTGCCCGTACCCATCACATCTCGGATTTTCGGGCTACCTTCCCTGGAGGCCCGATGCGCAGTTGATATGGATAAAGCTTAGCTTCTAGAGGCCCGATTTTTACCCATCGTCACTGCTTCCCGGTTTTGGGGCATCTCTTCGCCAACATCCAGACGGCGTGGATATGGGTGTGATTCTAGCCCGCAATCAAGGGGGCCGAACGACCTTGATCGCTCCCTGGGTGCATGGCTGCAGCGGGGTCCCGCGGTGCGAATTGTATCCATGATGATGATTATTCTTCGTCTTCTTATTCTGGTTCGTCGCTTTCTTCTCACTGCTCTCGTCCTCGTTGCCCCGCGCCCCGCCCCGCGACCCACCCGCGACCCGCTCGCGCCACGGCCCGCGCCGCCACCCGCCCGCGACCCGTCCGCAGTGCGCTGGCGGAAACGCGGCGGCTGCGGCGGTCTGGTTGCATACCGAGCGAAAACGCGAAGAAGAAAAACTGCATGCATATAAACTGTTGGCGCTCCGCGCGGGTTTCTTCAGGAGGGAACAAAACACAGACACAATGCATCGCCGATCCCCCAGGAAGTATGGGAAGATATGGGAAGTGGGGGGGAAGGTAAAAAAACCCAGGAACTATTAGAACATATGGGGAATCTTGTTATTTGTGTGCATTTACTTGTGTGTCCCAGGGCCCCTTCATTTTGGCGCTCCTCGCGGACCTCTTGGATCTGCCCCTGGCGCGCTCCGCGTGCCAGGGAGGGAGGGGTCCAGCGCGGGTCCAAGAAGTCCGCGCGGAGCGCCACCAGTCTATGATTGTGCCGTTTTCTGGTTGTTTGTTTCTTTCTTCTCTTTCTCTTGCTTCTTCTATACGAGTCGGCGCCTGCGGCGGGTTTCTTCGCGTGCGCCTTCGAGTCTCGCAGGTTGCCGGCGCCCCGCCCCACCCGCTCACTGGTATGCCCGGCTGCGGGGGGCTGCAGCATAAGTCGCCATGGGCCCGCGAGGAGTCCTTGGGCATCTACGCTTGGCCCCCCCCATGGCGGCGCGCTCGGGGGTGGGGCAGAGATCTGGCGCGGCAGAAGCATGCGATGGGCCCGGCGCGAAAGCTTCCGATATTGCATCGGCGCAGCGCTTGGCGTTGCGCGGCACTGCTCGGCAGTGCTTGGCATCGCTTGGCGTTTGCTCGGCATTGCTTGGCACTGCGTCTGGCATTGCGCCGAAGTGCTTCGCAATGCTTCGCAGTGCTTGGCGTTGGCTGGAGCGGGCGCTGTAATAATACAAGGCACCTGGGGCGGGGAACCAGGGGAACCCGAGAAACCCGGGGAACCCGTGGAATGTTTCGAGAACCTCGGGAACCCGAGGAATTTCGGGAACCCAGGGAATTTGGGGAACCCGAGGAACCGGGGGAACCCGAGGAACCTTCGGGTAACGGGCAACGTAGCAATAGGAGGTATCGGGGGCGGGGAACCTGGGGAACCTGGGGAAGCTCCGTGCAACAGGCAAAGCTATATATGTGTATATATATATGCGGGAACATATATACACCAGGGTCCCGTGCACACCAGGATCCGCTTTCCTGTGCGAGCTCCAGTGCAGGGCCGGCAAAGAGAGGGTCGGCGTGCCCAGACCCCCGACGTCATGATTTTTCCCACGGCGTCGACCCCCAGAGGTTCCGACCTATTCCCCTGGGACCTGTTTTTCGTCCCGAGTCGCTGTGCGACGGCCCCGAGGCCCAGCAAGGTCTTCCAGATGCCGAAAGTGGCGGAAAGCCTCCCGTCGTGATCTCTTCCTTGCTCGAGGGGGTCTGGTGGCTTCTCGGTTCTCGACCGCAGGTCTCTGTGCCGTGTTCTCCCCTTCCGCCGTTGCCACGCCCGGGCGCTTCGACGGCAGGGGCGCCGCCGTCCCCGGCGGCACCGCGGAGCCGCCAGCGCGCTTCCTCACCCCGGCAGGCTGGGCCTTCGCCATCTGGGGCCCCATCTTCCTGGGCGAGTTCCTGGCGATCCCTGGCATCAGAAATCCAAGAAGAAGAAGAAGAAGAAACGCCACAAACATACGGTAGGGGCGTTCGTTAAGGAATGCGCCGAAGAGGCTGTACACCCTGGGGGGGTCCTTATCCAATGGGGGCGGCGGTGATATCCATGGCCAAGCCCAAGTTGATGTTCCACAAGCTTCCAGACCCTGGATTCCTTATCTAAGGGTTCCTTATCCAATGCCCCCACCGTGAACTTTTTTGCGCTCCGCACGGATCGGCGCCGGGGGCCCCTGAACCCCCCTGGCGGCGCCTCCGGCGCCCTCCCTGGCGCGCGGAGCGCGCCAGGGAGGGGGGGAGGGTCCGGCGCAGATCCAAGAAATCCGCGCGGAGCACCAACAGTTTCTTTTTTCTCTTCTCCAAAAAAAGCCAGACGTGCTCGGGGTTCAGACAGAAAAAGCCGCCGTGTTAAACAGAAATCGCGACGGGAGGTTTGTGATAGTTTTCAGCCCACGGGGGCCCTCGTTGGGCCTCGGGGCGGTCCAGAAGCGGCTCGGGATGAGGTGCCAGCCCTAGGGAAAGGATCGGGACTTCTGGGGACCAGTCAGTCAGTCAGTCAAGCGAGGCGCCAGGCAACGGCGCATCGGCATGGAATCGTGTACGCACAGCATTCACACGAGAGTCTGCATGCTTGCCTTACGCAAGCGTCGGGAGAAGGAGGGGAGGGGGCGAAGCGGATGCGCAGGAAAAGGAAGCGAGAGGGAGAGCTTAAATAAATGAATTGTCAAGCAGGGTATCGCATGTCGGGGACATCGCATGTCTGCGAAAGGGTCTGGTCATTCAGTACCAGCGAGTTCCTGGCGACTCAGTTTCAGAATTGGCAAGGATAAAACACGGAAGCATAGTTTCTCGGAGTTCCGCTCGGTTTTTGTTGGATCGGCGTTGCCCCCCCCCCTCGCAGCGCCTGGGGCGCCGTCCCTGGCGCGGGATCCAGCGCCGACCCACGAAACCCGCGTGGACCTCATAGAAATGTTGGTTCCGCAGTTGTTTGTCCATCTATGGTCATCGTTCCCGTCTGTCCGGTCCCATTAGGTGTTGCCCGGGAGGCCCGAGCATTGGCCTGGCTCAGTACGGCCTTGAGGCGGCAGCTCCACGGCTGATTGGTCAGGTCAGTGCTCGGGGGGCTCTGGTGGCACTCAAGCAACTCCCTACCAGGGGCCCAGCGCGGACCTGATTCATGAGCTGACAACCGGCGCCCCTACTTATACGAGCCCCCCCCAGAACCCCCCTGGGTAGAATTCTCGGTGTGCTATGGGCTATGGGCTATGGGCGTGTGTTCCCAGACCCCGACATCGTGATTGTTTCACAACATCGACCCCCAGAGGTCTGCACCCCGTCCCCGGGACCGGCTTCTCGTCCTGAGTCTTTTGTTCGCGGTCCCGAGGCCCAGGAAGGGCCCGAGATGGCGAGCAACCTTTTCGTCGTGATTTTTTGGTACAACGCGAGGAGGTCTTGGACTGTGGGAGGGGGGTCCCCGCGCTCCTCTGGGAGCCCCCCCCGCTAGAAGCCCGACGGCCCGCGCCCATACAGATGGACGCGATGGACGCGCCCTCGGATGGTGAGGCGCGGGTCGGCACGAGATGGTGGGTACGAGGGCGCGTGGTCCGTGCAGCATTGGCTTTTTTTTAAGTCGGGCATGTCCCTCTGCAGGAGGAGCAATCAGAGATAGGCCAAGCAAATGTGGTGGGGACCACTTTGTAAGACTATGACGTGACTGTTCTTGAGTCGATGTTCGGACCATGCTCCACGGTTCTCCCCAAATCCCGCCCGTGGGAGGACATGACCGATCTGGCGCTGGCTCAGGGCTGGACCTAAACGGTGTTTTGGCGATTTCGTGGGCCTTTTTCGTTTCGATTTCGTTTTGCGGTAGAGGTGGATTGAAGACAAAACGAGGCAAACCGAAAACAACACGAAAACGAAAAACTCCGTTTAGGTTCAGCCCTGCGCTGGCTGTTCTTCTGCCCCCCCCAGGCGATGGTGTACCTCACGGGCCTGACGGCCCCCGAGGCCGCCGCGGGCCGCTGGGCCTGGCTGCTGGCGCCGCCCCGCGTGGGGGCGGCAGTTGCGCCCTGGTGGTGCGCGGGCATCTCGGAGGAGGGCCAGCCTGAGACAGCGCACCCCTCCGACGGTGGCGCCGTCGTTCTCTTATGTATTGTTTTGCCGATCGGCGCGGGCCCTGGCACCCCCTCCCACCCCCCCCAGACAGGCCCTGGCACCCCCTCCCCCGTCCCCCCCTAGACATGATCGCGTCGTAGAACAAGTCAGGACGGGAGGTTTTTGACCGTGGCTCGGGACCATCAAAAAGCGACTCACGGAGAACCGGTCCCGGGGAAAGGGTCGGGACTTTCAGGGACGCCGTCCTGAAGCAGATCAAGACGTCGCATGTCTGGCCCCCCCCCCATGGAGTAGGTCTTGGCTGCTTGAAGCGCATGTTTCAAGCAGGCGGGGGCTCCCCATGGGACGCTCTGTTGCAAACAGTGGCGTTAAGCAGAGGTCTGGAGCCAGTTCGCCCCCCCCCCCCCACTTTCGCTCAATGTCGAGGCGCCGAATAAGAAGACGCTCCCATTTCGTTTGGCGGCGTCTCGCGAGTGGGGTGCCACGGCCCTCGCAAGCGGGGGCCGCCGAAGAGTCCCGCAAAGGGGGGGACGGGGGAGCTCCAGGCCGCCAGGTCCAGCGGCCGTTTCGCCACAGACATCCTCGCGGTGTATTGAGGAATCCTGCGCTCGCCTCGATGCCGGCTTTATGCTTGGTCTCGGACGGCCACGATTCCACGATCCCTTGTGATTGCTCGCCGCGGACAGCCCACTATCCCCACAATCTGCTCTGCAAGCAGAGGAGTCTGGGCAACCGAGCAGGCAAACAGCCTGAGGCATCCTACAATCTGGGCGCGAGCGGGGCCGTGCAACCACGCATGGGCGGCTCCCGCTTCGGGTGCTAAAGACCAGCGCCTTGCTCGAGACATCCTCACGGTCTGTCCTGAAAGCAGAGGAGCCTGGGCAGCCAAAGAGGCAAACAGACTGAGACATCCTTACAATCTGGGCGCGAACGGGGGAGCGAAACCACTCATGTCGGCTCCCCCGTAGAGTGCTGAAGCCGGCGCCTCGCTTGAGACAGATTCACGATCGGCTGTGAAAGCAGAAGGGCCTGGGCAACCATACTCCGACGGAAGAGCCCCACATGAGAAGCCTTTTAATGTGAATAAGGTTGACCCTCAACTATCTTGAGGATGGTGATGCTGCCAAGATGCGAGGATACCAGAATGCGCCGTGCTGGACCTTTGAAACATGTGGGGCCCGTGGGAACGGTGCGACCCGTGGGGCTTGTTGGACCTGCGGGCCCCAGAGGGAGGGGGCTCCCGTTCGATGCCGTCGATGACCCGCTAGGATTACGAACATCATCTGCGGACCACATCTGGACGAGGGCTACCATCTGGACGATTCATTAACTGACGAGGCCCCCGCCTGGAACATCCTCACGGTTTGCCCCCTTTGGGTGTTCCAGTGTTACGCCTGATAGAACATGCCAATGACCTGCTCGAATTACCAACATGAAGTGAGTGCGGGCCCCATAGGGGGGGGGTCCGCTTGAGACATCGTCGCAATTCCCACACAAACGAGGCCCCCTCACATCGAGCGCATGATGGCCGTGACAGTTCACGCGGACGGGGCGCCAACCACAAGGGTCGATGGGTTGATGACTATATGTTGGTCATCTCTGAATGGTAGTGGGTCGACGAAAGAAACGCGCTATGCTTTTACAACGGTCCAGACGTCATGGATGCAGTCGAAGGGTGTCTTGGATGTAGGGTTCACTCGCCTCGCGTGGGCGTCCAATGCTCTGTGTGACGGCAGGCTGCCAGTGAAGGGTCAGCAAGGGGGGCGCCTCGAGGGCGGTCGACACCTGGCGCAGGGCTGGCGCCTCGCAGTGTTTTTGTTTCTGCGGAGGCGATGGGGAGTTTGATTCATCTGTGCGTGGTTTCCTGGCACGACAATCGCTTCCCAGTAATTGCTGGATGTGTCGTGCGAGTCCTGTGGACGGCCCTCTGCACTGCTACCACGTTCGTGATGATGCAGGTTGGAGGGCGGCGCTCAAGTCTCACGAGGCATATCTTGAAGAGTGCGTTGATCGCAATATACCCCCCCATGCGCGCTCATGAAGGTCAATACGGTTCAGCTCGAAGGTTCTCTACCCAACGCCATGCATGGCATAGGCGAAGGCTTCGCGAGTCAGGTTGCTGGGAATACGATGTGCGAAACCACGGAGGAAGCTGATTGGGGCCCAAGCCATCGTACTCGAGCGAGTGGCCCGTGTGAATGACGATTTGAAAAGTATCGCAAATATTCAACAAAGGCTGTCATAATCGACGTCGGCTCTCTTCTGAGAGAGTGCGGGCAGCTGTAGATTGGCCTGTTCTCAAGGCCGATGCCGCAGCAGCAGGACGCGCAGTCCCGTGCATCACGCATCTGGCATCGATAGTCAATTCGGGAAGTGACCACGATGTCCGCCGATTCATTGTCTGCAGATTCTTGAACGACGCGTAAGTATACCACAACGACGATTTTGGTTGTTTCTTCACGCAGGGCCACAAGGATTGTCTCAGACACATCAGTATTACAATACCGGGTCGTTGTCGGAATATGAAATTCGAGGCGGTGAGGAACAAATAATGGAAATGAACGATGAACCCGAACTTGCACGAGACGCAACACATTCTTGATCATCTTGCATGCGCTATCTACCCGATGCAAGTCTGGTCGTACGCCGATGAGGACCTCCAGCGCCTCATCGCACACATCGCCGTCCAGCATCACCCTGCCGCAGCGCCCTACATGTGTTTGTTCAGGTGGATCGTGTAGACATCACAAGAAGCCGATTGAAGCCATCGGTCCCTTGTGGGATGAACAAGTGTTGTTTTGCCGATCTAGCCAACAATATCCTCATTTAGCTTTAGCAGCTTTTGCTATTCCTCGCCTGCCTAGAGAGAGCGATCAGCTTCGCGAGCAAACGGCAGCTGGAGGAGGAGGAGGAGGAGGAAGATGAGGAGGAGGAGGATGACGAGGAGGAGGAAACAGGGATTGAGTAGAGTGGAGGAGAGGCGAGAGGAGGAATACGAGGAGGACAGAGGAGAGGGAGGAGAAGAGGAGGACAGGGACGGAGGGAAGGGAAATAGAAGACCATGGAGAGGATAAGTTATGGTGTGCAGAAGATGCGAAGAAAGCGCATCGAACAGGCAATGAGACAAGAAACCGAACGCTGTTCGTCAGCACTGGAAGGAATCACGCCGAAGGCGTGATTTCGCTCCTTGTGAGCCGATGCGCTGTAGCAGCGTGAATAAAAATGGGTACACGCGACCCCGTGGGGCAGCGGCGGGCGCGCCCCAGCCGGAGCCGCCGCCACGGTAGCAGCGACGGCAACAGCAGTGACGCGCGCAGGGCTCCCCGGCGGTGCTCCCCCGAATGGGGAAGGCGGCGCGGGCAGGTTTTCTCCCCCGCTTGCAGCCGGGCTTCCCCGCCGGCGGTAGCGGTCACCCCGATCGGCGGCGACCCGCGGCGCCCGAGCGAGGACGAGGGGCCCTGGTCGCCGAAGGCGGCGGCGGCGGCGGCGGCGGCGGCGGCGCCAGCGGTCTCGGCAGGGTCTGCCCCCTTGGCCGCGGGCCCGCAGGAGGTGACTCGGCGGAGTCCGCGGACGCCATTCAGGCGGCAGGCGGCGTGGCGCGCGGGCGCGGCCGTCGCAAGCGGGGAAATGGGCGCGCCGCTTGTTCCAGCAGCTGCGCGCGCACGGCAGCCGGCAGCGCCGGTAGCAGCGAGGGCTGCTTCGACGGCGCCGCCGGAGGCGATTCGGGCAGCCAGCTCGGCAGGCGGGGCGCCAGGCGCAGAACTGGAAACCTGTCGCCCGGCGCCGCAGCAGACGAGGCCCTATAGGGGCCGGGAGGCTTCGCGATCACAAGCCTCACGGAGGACTAGCTCCTCATCCGCCGGCGCGGGCTGGAGGCGCCCGCGAACCCCCGCTGCGGCACCGACGCCGCGCGCTGGACCGTGCTTGGGCGGACACCGACGACGGAGTCGACGGCGACCTCAGGGTGCCCGCGCCGCCTCGCGCGAGTTCGGCGGCGAAGTCGCAGACCGCGATGCTGCGGCGGACTCTGGCTGCTGGCTCTGGCTGCTGGCGCCAGCGCGGCTCCGGAGGTGGCCGCGGGGGCGACCTGGCTGCCGGCGCGGCGCAAGCGCAGGCGGCGGCGCTGCCCGAGGGGGCGCTCGGCGGCGCCAGGGTTCCTGGTGCCGGCGGCGCGGCAGCCGGCGTGGCCCCTCTGCGGCAGGCGCACCCGGCAGCGGCAGTGCTCTGGCTGCCGGCGGGGGCGCCCCAGACGCCACAGCTGCGCTCTGCTGCGCCGAGGTTGGCTTGGCCAGCCTCCCGCGCTCGGGCCAGGCGGGCGCGCTGCGAGAGCGCGGGCGGAGAGTGCGATGCTCCTACTTCTCGAGGCGGCGACGGTTGATCCGACCGCGTTGGGGCCCGTTGCGCTGCCGGCCTGTCGCCTGGCCGCGCGCGCACTTTACGGCGGCTGCGCGCTGCCGTCGCGCGGTGACAGTGGTCCGACTGCGCAGGGGAAGTCCTGCAAAGCCAGGGTGAGTTGGACCGATGCCCGCGCCCGCCGCTGCGCTGCGCGG